TACCCCAGCAATAGAAATGGTTACATTCTAGAATCAAGTGGGATCAGAGGTATCAACAACCTATATCTAGTCTTTCCTGAATACAGATATTGGCAAAATGCTCTCACATAGCAATGCTAATGTAATAATCTGGCTTAGCTCCCTCGCAGTTCAAAGTGAGATGCAAAAACAATATACCTTCACTCATTTTCTGACTGGAATTCTTCAATTTGGTAATTTCTTGGCTTTCACAGTCTCTCATTTTTTCATCTTCCTTCCCAGTGTTACGGTCTTTTATTTGGTCCTTCTCCTTATGCTTCTTTGATTTCTTTTTGGACTTTTTGTAGAGTAATGAATGTTTTTCATCTGTAGACTTTGGGCACACTGACAGATTTTCAGAAGGCGCTGGGATTTCCAGTGGAGTCCTGGAAGTGTATTTTTGATGCTGGTCCTCATAAATGTTGCCATTCTGGCTTAAGGTGTCAACAGGCAGGTCCTGGGTACCCCGACCTTCGGGAGTGCTTGGGGAATTGGAGTTAGAACTTGCAGTCTGGGGAGGATTTGAAACAGGGAGACAAGTTGAAACAAATGGTGGAGCAGCTGGTGCTGCAGCAACTGCAGGAGGTGGTGGTGGTTGAGAAGTTTCAGCATTTTTTTCACCAGAAGTAGGCAAATGGCTACTTAATGTTGGTTGAACTCTATTGGTAAGATGAGATATCCTTGGTTTTTTATTCATTAACGGATCAATAAAGTCAGAATCCAAAAGCCGTTTCTGCAATAAAATATCATATGTATGATGGTTAGTTTTCTCTTTATTAAAAATTCAATTTAAATTGTACAGCCTGCAATTACTAGGTTGTTTTACCCTGGTGAGGAATAAAAAGAATGATAAAAATGAAGCATAACTAGAAATAATATTAGTTAGGCATTTATAGTTGATTGCTAAACTGGGATATTAACTGGAAATCACTAGTGGTCCCTGATGTAATGAATGAATAAATAATGTTTCTATTAATATTATTTTTTCCTGTGGGCTGAATTTTTGGAATTACAATACAGGTGTTTGCCTTAATTTTTCATATTCATATAACAATGCTGGCCCAAGGCATCTTCTTGATATGCAGCACCAAATCTCAGTCCCTTTTCACGCAATGTATAAAGTCATCATGCTTGACTGTGAAGCTGATCTTATTTTAAAAACAAAGATTGACTCTGTGCCCAAGAAGATAAGGATACACACTCTGGCTGTGTGCTATTTATTAATTCAGAAGCGCCTTGATGCTACTTCAAGATACTTTGGTGTGGGATTGCTAACCTAAAAAAACAACAATGGCAAGCACATGGCAACTTAAGTAAACTGGTTGCCCTTAGATGAGTAGGCACAGGGATTATTTCAGGATAATGCAGAAGCTTCCAACAGCTTTATACTCCAGAATTCAGTCCTATTTTTCAGGGGAGGCACAAAAGACAGTGAAACCAGCAAACCAAAGGGACAAATCCCTCCACTCTTATATGCCTTTCTGTTATATGCCAGGATGCTCCTTCATAAACAGCTGATATAGAAATTTCCTGAAGTTTTACGAACATTACATTTAAAATTTCCAGTATACATCCATAACTCATGTGGAAGTACTGAGTATACCTTGTTCATTGTTAAGAAAGGCTTCAAATAAAAAGAAAAGTAATACTATGTTTTTTAAATTAAAATTATTCTTTGTACAAAGGATCATTATAGTATAATAAAACTTAGGAAATAAGATTTTTAATATTTGTAGACAAATCAGAAGCAGACATGTACACACACTTCATGCTGTGGCTCTCATGTTGACACAAAAAATGAAATGC